GAATGAAAGTTATGAGAGGATTAGAAAGCTATGAAAACTAATCAACAGAGAGATCCACAATCAAAGATCGTAGATCTGAACTCCCGCGGGAGACTGTAAAGTGTGATAGAGTAGGTTGCGGTAGCAATCCTACTCACTCCACGATCCAAACGGAACGCGTGGAAGATTCGTAGCATTTATCTAGTAGCGTGGAATCTCTCCACGCCAGCTAAATATCTAGCGCGATGTTTCACCATCGACCTAGTATGACTAGCGGTCATGAGAACCCTGTCTCAATGACTATTCACGAAAGACTCAGTCAAGAGTCAAACTCAAACCCTATCTAGGATCGAGTCGCGAATAAGGCTAAGAGCCGTGTATTGCATTCGCCCCCTGACAGGGTCACGGAGGCACGACTCAGTCGGACAAGGAGAACATATGAATTAAAGTGCGGCACTCTCCGGAGATTGATGTAGACATGTGCGTCGCACATGGCAATCCTACAAGGGGATCAGGCTTGTATGGGTGAAATACCTTATGTTCCAAGTCTGGTAGACTGTGCGCTACTGGCGGTAGTATGTCGGAGCGTACAGTGCCATTTTATTACTCGGTCTGTGTGGTAAGACCTTTGTGCTGGGCTGACCGTACTAACGTTCTTATACTGATGAATCTCATAGTTCGTTGACATTTGTTGATGAGGGACACGTTCGTGTTCTCCTTATCGGTGTTTTCTGGATAAGTCGTTGGACCGCCTCTTTCATTCTCTCAAACTCAAAACACTCGAAAGATCTTTACACTAGCTTTTAGCGTAGTGCACGTGAAGAACATTGCCATTATTCTTTATTATTCTTGCAACTGCCACCGGAACTTCTAATCCCGTGTCACACCACAAGTTCCTCCACAGGTGCAACGTCCTATATGACTTGGTCAAGCCATGGGCTATCAGCGGCAGGATTGTGGTGGCTGGCTCCTACTTTGAATCGGTCCAGCAGCCAAGAGGCTTTCCGGCATTGGCCTTCGCTTCATTGGTACCATCAAGAGCGCAACCAAGGAGTTCCCAATGAATTATCTTGGAACCAAACAGTTGAACGGTGGAAAGGGAACTAGACATGGTGTCCTCTCCAAGGATGAAGAACTTGGAACATCCTTGCTTATATAATATGTGTGGGTAGACAGAGACCGCCGGTACTTTGTGTCCACGTGTTCCTCATTGTCGGCAGCAGGGCATCCATGCATTAGGAAACGATGGCGCCAGGTTGACAAGCAAGACTCCTCCCAATGCTCCGCCCACACTTGTTGAAATCAATGTTCCACAACCGGAAGCTTGTGAGATTTCTTACCTTGCCGGCGGCAAGATCGATCAACACAACCGGTGTCATCAAGCGGGGCTTATGTTGGAGCGCAAGTTGCGTACCACGATGTGGCATCGTCGTGTCAACAACATGTCTCTCTTTGGAATGCGTGTTGTTGACTCTTATCTTCTTGCAAGAGGATGCCAAGGCATCAACTGCAGCTACTCAACCACTGGTGACTTCTTTGCAGCTCTGGCAGTTGACAATACCTATGAGTTGAGGGCTCTGCGCAAGAGAACAGCAGCAAGGGCTGCAGCGAAAGCTGGCCACAATGGCACTCCTGTTGCCCCCAAAGAAGATTGTCCCCTTTCCATTGATGCTGAGCTCTGAGGCAGCATGTTGCTCCTACACCAGCCAAGAGAGGCAGGAAGAACAATCCAGGCCATAGAGCTCAGAGGGCAAATATGCCTCAAGTATCTGTCCGGCATACATCTTGTGTCTGTCGCAAAAGCCAGAAATGACAAGCAACCAAAGAGAGATGAAAAGCAGTACTGGATCTGCAACATCTCTGGGCAGCCTTGCATGGGAGCGCACGTCTTGGATGCCATCCAGATAAGCAGGAGGTGATAGAGGTGTGGCAGTTGATGCCTCACCTTGCTTTGTTGACTTCTAATTGTCATGTACCTCGACCATATCTGTTGTTGAGGTTGTTGCGTGTTGTGTGTTCTGATTTGAAATAGACGTCAGTAAAATTTACGCTAAGTAGTACTAAAATAATGATAGTTGTCATGAGACATCAATGGTCATCTCTCGAATTCGAATTTTGTGTTCACTTTCTACAATAACTGGTACATAAATGATTTGCGATGTCATGTGACAATAATCCCATGTCACATGACAATTTTAGCCAGGGGAGAGCGAACACTAGCTAGTAGGCGGTAGTGATGGGCACCCCTTTGATACACCCAATGATACATACGTATAATACACGTATAATACGTGGTCCCCAACTTCAATACATACGTATTATACGTATTTAACTACTACTGCTAATTTTGGGGGTCTTTGCTATCCAGTTACCCTCCCTAGGCCCACTAGACTTGGCTACAGATGCTGCATCATCCTCATCAAGGCCTAGATCTACCAAGAACTGGTCTATATCAGCAGTAAGAGCTCCGCAAAAGCTTCCATCGACTGGCTGATCCCCGATGGTTCAAGAGACTTTAGAAGCCTCAAGTTGACATAGCAATAGAGCAGCATCTTCACAATCTTGTTGACGAGACTCGACTCTTTCGAACCGTAGAATGCACCACATAATGTGCATGGGAAGACAGACAGACCATATGTTAATAAAATACAGTATTATACAGTATTATACGTATCAAAACTTAAAATACGTGTATTTGCCCATCACTAGTAGGCGGAGCTTGCTCAAGCTAGATAAATATACCGGAAGAGCTCCTACATGTACGGGTAGCTAGCTAGATGCTAGCTAGTACGGTGGGAGACGGCGGTGTGGAAGACCAAATCAATAGCTAATTAATTAAAATCACACTCTGTCAAATATACTAAAACCAATGGAACACTCATAATCAGAAGGTTGATTTCTCCGTGCCAACAAATGCAGGAGAGACTTCGGGCTGCACCCACTATGCCAGGAAGAAAATGGTGGCGCAGACTTTTTCCGTCGTACCAGTAGGCATAACGCTTTACCATCCGTACCAGATGACCTTCTTCTTGGCGCCATACCATTCGTCATACTTGCCCTTGTAGGCATCCTCAATAGTGCCGCGCTTGATCTTTTGAGTGGGAGTGAGGAAACCATTTTCGGGTTGCCACTCATCCTTTACGATTGCCAACAATTGCAGAGCCTCATGAGGATCAACCTCGCCATTGACTGTCTTCATCAACTCTTCGAGTTCAGCTTCAATGGCGGTTCGTCCCTTTTCTTCGCCCGCCTCCTTGCGGGCAGCCTCGGACAGCTGAATGATAGCCATGGGCTGGGGATGACCAGAACCACTCACGCAGGACAACTCAATTCGAGAACTGACATTGAGTTTGTTCTCTATGGGCGCAGGTGACACATACTTTCCTTTGGAAGTTTTGAAGATTTCCTTCAGACGGCCGGTGATCTTCAATCGGTTCTTTTCGTCAATCTCTCCACGATCTCCGGTCCTCAACCAGCCATCATCACACATGGTTTCCTTGGTGGCCTCCTCGTTCTTGTAGTAACCCATCATAATTCTGCAATAATAATAAAAAGAAGAAGACAATTTTGAGGGACAGCCTGCAATGAAAAACCATCCCAATGAGCCATCTACTTCATGATCACTTACCCAGGACTCAAAACTTGAATCTCTCCGTCGTCACTGATTCGGTGCTGGACATCAGCATAGGGCTCTCCAACGTAGCCAGGGCGCACACGGCCAGCCATGGAAATGTGAGAATAGTTGAAATTCTCAGTCATACCATATCCTTCGAGCAGGTTGAGTCCGAGTCTTCGGTACCAGTCCAACAGTTCTTGGGGAATGGGGGCAGAACCAGAGCCAGCAATACGGACACAATCCAAACCAAGTCCCTTCAACACCTTTCGCTTGACAAGCCATCCAATAAAAGGAATGCTCATCAAAAAGTTGAGCTTCTTTTCTGGCATTTTGGTCAAAACACCCTGGTTGAACTTGGTCCACAGACGGGGGACCGACATGAAGAGTGTTGGTTTTGCTCGCACGAGATCCGCCACAAAGGTGGTCAGGGAGTCCGCATACCAGACCTTTTCTCCGCAGTACATGGGCAAACATTCTCCCAACCAACGCTCCATACCGTGGGACAAAGGCAAGTAGGAGAGGTATCGATCCTTTGCATTGACATTGTAGAGTTTGACCATGCCCTGAGTGGGAACGGTCAGCCCTGTTATTAATTAAAAAATAGATGAGGTTCGATTCGACGTTCCCCAAACTCAGCTTGAAGCAACAATTTATTTGAGCTTACCCTTGAAATTCTGCATGACACCCTTGGGCTTTCCAGTCGATCCAGAGGTGTAGATACTGATATTCAAACAAACAAATATTTTAAACGATTGGTGAATAAAAGTAAAACAAGCAGGCCAAGACTCGAAGCCACACCAAAAAACTCACATGGTAGCCATCTCGTCAGCCGAGCGTTCGACCATGGCCTTGATGGGTTCAGTCTTTCCAATCACATCGTCCCATGTATCACCCCAGTCTCCTTCAGGTTTGAGCGGAAAAGAGACCTTGGCCATGTCAGCAGGGACGCCGGATTTCATTTCATCCCATGGTTTCTTGTCGAGTTTTCCGACAAAGAGCAATTTACTCTCCGAGTGTTCCAAAATGTAGGAAACAGTGTCGCCCGTCAAGGTAGGATAGACAGGAACGGAGACATGTCCAGAAATCCAAACTACATGTGGAAGAGAAGGCCATCGAATAAGAAGCCATGGTGAGAACCCTCAAAATCAAACAGCACCATCACACGAACAAAACAATTGAGTGATCCACTTACTGGCAATGTCGGCAATGATCCACCATGCACAATTCTTGGAGCAAATGGCAATCTTGGAGCCCTTTTCGAAACCCTTCGATTCAAGGTAGCCTGCCATTTTCTGGGCTTCCTCCAAAACCTGCTTGAAGGTAAAAGTCTTGATCTCATCGCCACCCATGGGCTGAGTGAGCCACACCGCATCTGGTGTCTTCTCACAGTGGTCAAGGAAACCCTTGAGGATAGTATCGTGTTCCACCATGGTGAAGATGATTGATTTCGTTTTATGTCGTGTAGATTTGCTCCAACACCGAGATCAAAAGAATGATTATGATATCGCAACGAGTTCAGCCAAGCGTCACCAAGATGAGGATTTGAAAGAGGGTTCTGGATGGTGTCACTCGGAATGTATCTTTGCTCTAAGAGCCGGCGCTGCATACGCACAGACGCGCGACTACTCAGATTTAAGGCAGAGCCAACGGCCAATCACATGGAAATTTCTAATTATTCAGTAAGTTGATGAAGACACTCCTTCTTCCACATCTGGGACTCGCAAGTTGGCTCCCTCACTGCATGCCTCCACTCTCGACTCTCAACTCACAACAGAGCCACCGGTTACGGCAGAGTGACGCTGTGAAAATTTTGCTTCGACATCATGAGTCGAGTCTCACGCTATGTACAGCACCCTTGCTCTGGTACTCGTAAGGAAGAAGCTCTCGGTTTGGGTCTTGGAGCATGATACCTTCGATACGGTAGCCAAGATTGATACCGTACGACAAAACCGGCCTGTCTTCTTCCTTTCATTCGGATGCGTGTAACCTTGCAAAGGGAGAAGCTGCAGGTAGTACTCTAGCTAGCTAGGAACGACACGGTGACACGATACCGACAAGGTGAGCAGCAAGCCATCTACATGTACGTGCAGCCTTGACCAGTTAGTTAACACCCTGTACGATTCCAAGGTCTATTGGTACCAGTACATGTGGCTAGTAGAATACCCCGCTAACCACTCAATCGCCACGATGACCATGAAGTGACCTCGACAGCCACTTCTTGTCCTTGGGACCATCGTCTTTGCTTCGTGCTTCATCAACTCCAAGGGATACCGGGCACGATTGCTCTGTTGTGAGGAAGTTATTGCAGTAGCGGTGCGGAACCTTCCGCGACTTTTCCTGGCCTGATGATGCCGTTCTCGTTGACTGGATGGATCACCGAGAGATTGGTTGTTGGAGGGCAGCTGCCAGCCATTCAGCAGTCGGGAAGCAGTTTTCGCTAGGAGGCTGGCTACTGGTACGGGCGGCTGATGGTGGTCCATTTCCTTTCTTGCTCTTAATGCAGTACCAGTGTCTGCCCCTCGGCGGTGGCATCGGTATTTAATCCGGGCCAGAACGAGTTCCAACCTCCCGTTGATCAAAGATGTTCTTCGCGTACCCCAAAACGAGTGAGGTTGATGCAATAGCTCATTCATCCTCGGCTACACCAGCAACAACTAGGCAATGACAAACGGCAAAATCACCATCGTAATGCCGACAAAAGTACTGTGTGGGCCGCGGTGTGGGACGGCACTGCTGGTCCCATCGTCCACATCAACTGCTGTGGCGTTTGTAGATACTGCATCTTCATCTTCTGCTTGTGGCATCGACGTTGTGTCACTCGTCATGTTTAAACCCGCCTCGGCATCATTGGTGATGTTCAATCCTTCCTCATGGGCAGCAGTTTGATTCAACCCTTCCTCCGCTTCTGATGGAACATCAGCTGTAGGCGGTTTGTTGTCTGAATGGTTGAACACGTTGCCAGGATGGGTTCCTGCCGCATTCGTCGGGGCCATTGTAGACGGCTTGTCGAGAGGATTGTTGTCAAACAGGCCTCCTGGTGGATCTAAGATGACTGTTCCAGATTCCGACAGAGATGGTGCTGGTCCGCCCACAACGTTGGCATACATGGCCAACAAGGCAGTCTCCCGACGAAAGAAGTTTGATGGGTTGGATTGCCATATCGTATCACCGTCGATATCGGCACCTCCTGCCACTATGGGGTTACCCTGCAGCCCTTCAAAGCCCAGATAGTGGTTGCTACTGGCAATCATGTAGTAGTATTTGGGATCATCACCATCCGTACAGTCTGGAAAGAACGAATTAGCTAATCGTTCGAAAAAGCTAAAGTCTGCGGCAGCCTCGCCGTCCTGAAACTCGTAGCATTCAAACGAGAAACCGCTTTCGTCTCGCTCTGCGGTGCACTTTCGGTTGAAAGGCTCTGTCACTTGCTTGCCAGGTGTGGGGAGTACAAACGGAAAGAGAGGACTGCATCCATACACTACGCCATGAGCTCGTTCTTGTTCGCCGAGAGAGTAGCCGAAACACTGCATAGTGGCGTTGTCCGAATACCCCGTGAGCTTTCGGTCGGCATACAGATAGTAATTTTCACAAGAGAATGGATGACAGTTGTCATCAATGCCACAAAAGTGCCCGATATTGTCCTCGCACTCGCATGCATCCGAACCAAAGTTGACAATCTCCTCGGCGGTAACACCTGTCCAGGGTAGAACGATGGTCCGAAGAACCAACAAAGAACTAAGCAGCTTCTTCATGGCGTATTGCTTTTCGTTCGAATGAACAAATTGTCGTTTTAGTTAGAACCTCTCTCGTCGGCCAATTTGGCAAGGATATGCAAGTTCGTCCAACCAATCCACACAAATTGGGTGACGAAGCTTGTGGATAAATGCCGTGCGGAACGCAAAGAGAGTTGGGGTATCATACTGGCATTAACGAGAAGGACCTGTCAATTATCTGTTGATACCGTACGGTACACACCAACTGCATTATTATTGCTACTTTAGCGGCGTGTTGTTGCCAGCAAGCTCTCAATTCATTCTCGTCATACTCTTGACCGTTTCCAAAACCAACACAAAGACACTCTCGCATGCTTTAGTTTGCTAGTAGGCTTTGGACGAGTACACTAGTAGGCCATGGATAATAAGAAGATCCAGTATTATCTACCACCGGGATGTTGCGATGACGCCCAATCCTTGTTGGAGCAGGAAGACTTGACCGAGCAAGATGTGTTGGATTTTGTGTCGGGTGGAAAACTCCCCGAACGAGAAGATGCCGCCAAAGAGATGAGACAAGCTCTGATTGATGCCTATCATGAACGACGGCGAGAAATCCGAGATTTGGCGTGGAAATTTTGGCAAGGTCAGGCTTTTGTGGATGAAGATGGTCGGTTGGTACCCGTGGGCGAGAATCACAACAATAATAACGAGGCTGGTATCCTGCCTCCTGCAGGAGGCGGGCAGCTTCCACCCTTGCCGAATCCCGTCAACAACAACAACAATAACAACGGCAATAATATCGCTCCACCCTTCTTGCTCGCTCCCGCGAACTTGATGAATGGTGGGGGTAACAATAATAACAATGGCGCAATCAACAACAACAATAATAATGACAACAACAATTTGGGAAGGAACGTGGACAACAGGAACAATGACAATAATGACAATTTCAACATGAATGCTCCCGTTGTCAACAACAATATTCCATTCCCATTGGATCTGGAAGAGGAAGAACGGAGATGGACGGAAGAGGAAGAACGAGAAGCGGCATCGGCCATTGCTCGAGCGGTGGAGCGATATCGGCAGCAAGCTGTTCCAGAGGAAGAATTCGTCTTGCTACGTGTCCCACCCATGGAACGACCGGAACGAGCTAGCTTGACATTTCGACGCATCTGCTTTGCCGTCCTTGCCGTTGCTGTCGCATTTATCTGTATCATGTTGCAAACTATTCCCTTGTTTCCACGCGACAAACGCCCAGATCCACTCTTTGACAAGCTCCTCTATGAACTACTGCACGTGAGACACTTTACAGACCATGCCAGAGACTGTCCCGATTTAAATCGTTCTCCACTTTCCAAGACATTGTATCCATCTTGGTGGACAGAAACGCAGTTATTCAAACCCATCGAGTGGCTTCTTTCCTCCTACTACTACACCAGCATATCATCAGAAAACCAACCAGAACATGATGTGGATTGCAGCGATGGTGTTGTTCATGTCCCAACCAAAACTGTGCTGGTGGATTCCTTCTTTGAAGCATCCACCAAGGGACAAGCTGCCTTTTGGGAACCGTACTTACTCGGTGTCAATGTCAGTTGGTTCATGCCCTGCAATCCACCAATCAATGCCAGTACCACGTGTCAATCACCAACACGACAACAACAGGAGATGACAACAACAACAAATAAGGATCAGTCTACGGACGACGATGCCTGTCCCGTATCGGAGGATCCCCAACACATGGAGGATCATAAATGCTTTCGGGGAATTCACGACAATTTGATTACTGACCAAGATATTGGCGAAACCTTGCGAATGGGAGCCGAGTTGATTCAAGTAGGTTGGGACCATTTTGATATTCACTATGATGCCCGATACCTTCGACATTTGGAGGGGCGACTTCCCGCTCTTTTGGAAACCATTCGGAGCCTCTTGCGCGATACCTATCGGGTGGGATCCAACCACACGAAACTCAAACCGGTGGCCTTTCGAGTGAGTGCTAGTGGTCCCCTCGATGGGGGGAATTTACCCTTGCGTGGTAGCCTCAGCCAGACATCGAGCTATCTGCTCCGAGTCCTGAACCGACAGGTAAGTTGCTTCCAGGGGGGAATTGTTGAAACATGATATTCACTCTACTCACCGAATCGAATCCGTTTCTCCTACGTTTGTGTGGCATTAGCGGTACGTCCGATGGATTGAGAAACACAAGCGACACAATGAGCTTGCTCGGTACTCGCTTCCTTGGCCATCCACTCGACGGGAACCGTTTCGTGATCCCTGCGTGCTCATTTCCGATATGGAAGCCGACCCCCGCTTTGCAATTCACACTTCAGTGTTCCTTTCGACTGGAGCTGGCCACGACTTTCGAGGCGGAGTTTCACTCTTTGTCGACGATCATCCATCCAATTCCAATCCTCGACGCAAAATCCAACGAGGCGTCACCATTGATGGTTCGCGAGGGCGGTTGGTGGTATCTACCGGTGGGCTGGAGAATCGACGGTGTCGGCTTCCGACGAGAGAAGGAATACGCGCAGCGCTTCAAATCTGGTGGAGCTGTGAGGAGAACGAAAACAACACCGATGCAAACCTTGGCGATGAACCGCTGGAGAAGATTTCCGACATTGTACCTTCCAGGTCAAGGCTTTGGCCAGTCTTTCATGACCAAAAATGATTGAATAGTTTTGCTTTGACTCCCGCTCAGTCCGTGACTGATGGTCACCACCTCCGTTGGGCTTCGGTTCGGTTCAGGACTGTACTAATACTACATGTAGTAGACTACATCGGGAATCAAGACACTTCGGCCACACAACCACCCTTCGCGCTTCGTTTTCGACATGTTGGGACTTCGCTTTTGAGCTCGTACCAGGTACAGTACCAGGTATGCTTCGTCGTTGGCCAAGCTTCACATCAGAAGAGTGCGAAGAGTTATTAGAAGAGTTAGGAAGTTGGCACCGGATCGAGTTTTTGTGACTTCTTTTTCCTTTTGACGTAGCGTTCTACAATTTCGCTTGTTTTGGCGGACAGAAACATTGTACAGTATATTATTATGTCATTGTGTGCAAGTGGAGGCGCATTCTTACACAATCCGAAGGAAACGAGCCTTATATATCACCTGATCCCAACGAAGGCACGTCCAGCAGTTGTACATGCATCCAATACGGAGCATTGGAGGATTGTGATTCTACAGCCTTTTCTTCCGGGTCGTCAAACATATTGGTTTGGCGAACCTCTCTGCCACCGACTGTGAGAAAGACCCAAGTGAAGTCAATCTTCCTCCCCAAACCTCTCTTGGCGCATAATACAGCATGGATGAACGAAAAGTTCCTCCACCTTGCATATCTCGTAAGAAATTTGATTTGAGTCTACCTGCCGTACAACCAGGCAACCACCGCCCCTCAACTACCATGAAGAAAATCCAGAGTCAGAGCAATACAAACCTCATATATGGGAATCCAGCAGTGCAAATACCAAACAAGATGAAACCCCGTGTTCAAGTCCTCAAGAGTTCTGATGATGGGTCCGATCAGGCATCCCAAGGCGGCGACGGCACCTTGTCACATCTCGCTTCCTGCTTGAATGCTTTCCTTTGTTGGAAGTGGAGCCGGACCGTTGCACTACGCGTGCTCTTCGTCACCAGCATCATCTTCGCGATCTTCATATGCAGCCTGGTGTCGTACCTGATAATCCGTGACTTGGAGTACGAGGTTGGCCACCAAACATATGAAAGGTGAGCAGGTTCTCAAACCGTATGCATGTCCCTGTTTGATTCAAGATGATTCCTTTTCCGCGGCACTCAACAGATCTTCCCGCTGTTTCGTTTGTTGTTTGAAACGAGCAGCGTTGCGGCCAGTGCCTTGAAAGCCGCCCGCGAAATCACCCTTCGAAAATATCAAGCCGCCAAGGTCATGGAGTCCGTCCTAAGTTTTGCCTTTCCGGATGCTGAAATGTGGCCTTATGTGGGTCTCAACGGGTACTTTCACACATCGAGGGAAGTGGCTGCATTGGCGAGCACGGGCTCGATGGGTATGAGCGTCTTTGTCCAACCTCCCGAGGCAGCAGCCTTTGAAAGCTTTATTCAGGAGCACTTTGACCAGCAGGTAACTTTTGCCATTTCTCTCCTCGCTCAAATCCTCTACCCTTACTCACTCCTCCTCTGGCTCCTTCTAGGGCTACCCACCGGATGCCGGGCTCAGCGATTTTGGATTCGGCATTTATACAAGGGATCCGGACTCTCCTTTTGCCGATGGTAGGGTTCCGTCGCGTACGGGAAACGACACATCGGACGGGGGAAGTCCATACACGATTCTAGCCCCTATAATGGATCATTCTGTGAGTACAAAATGTCCAAACGTTTGCTTCTCATGTCAGATTCACTCATCGCTTTGCTGCGTCACAGATGTGGAACACCAACGCTCTCATGTACGACGTACATTCCACAGACACTGCTGTTGATGCCCTTTTTGAGTGCACTGAACATGCAACCCAGAATTCTGACTTCCTGGCAACAATGACAGACGCACCTACTGCACCCCAAAAGCCTGCTTGCACGGTGAGCACGGGTTTCAAGAAGTTGATCAGTCGACCAGACCTTGCAACATTGGTCGACCAGCCAATATACCCAGCCAATGATCCTACTACAGTGGTGGGCTTTGTTGGAACGTCTATCCAGGTGAGCCAAAATAGTCCCGAAACTCCGCGGTGTGCTGGTTACGTCGGCAGGATCAACAGTGGCGCTCAAAGCTTGTTCCTACTCGTATTCCCCCCAGTGGATCGAGGTGCTTGACCAAATCGTGCCGGATTTCTTTGATACTCTAGTCGCAGTAATATCTACGGATTCACAATGGCATTCAAACACTGACTTCGGTACCGTGACGTATATCATTCGACATGGGCACGCGGTCTTTCTTGGCGAAGGAGATCAGCACGATAGAAGATTCGACTCATCTGCCCGGTCGATAGTGTTGAACGATGTCGCGGGAGCAACGAAGTCGGTGCATGTAACGCTCACAGTATACCCAAACTCATTTGATCAGTTCGCCACCAAAAGTCCATTGGCCGTGTCATTGGGATTTGCGGCAGTCATTGCGATATGCACAGTGATCTTCTTTGTGTATGACTTCTTGATGCAAAGTGACATCAACGAGCGCAAGGTTGTGTTGGAGATGAAGCGTCGATTCGTCCGCTTCATTTCTCATGAAATACGAACGCCATTGGTACGCAGAGAATACTCTCAATACAGAACATTGTGCCTTTCTCACCTTTCCATACGCTTCTCTCAGAACACTGGTAAGCGACTCGACTCGGGCATTACGTTGTTTATTTTTGAAACAATCTGATCATTCTTTGTGCAACTTCGACGACAGTTTGCATGGGGTTGGAGCTACTCGAGTCAGAGCTGGGGCCGCACAGAGATCGAAATGTCACACCTGAGGCTTCGAGTTCGTCGCTTGCGCCAGAGAGCTCTTCAGGAGCCAGTGTTGACTACTGGTACGATATCACCCGAGACATACAAGAGAACGCTTCCAGTGCAGTGGGGATTCTGAACGAGTTGCTGAAATATGATAAGGTATGTCAGTCCGCTTTGATTGCCTTTTTGCGTCGCAACTGTCAGACTGATCTTCCTTTCGCACGTCAAGATCGAAACTGGCAACCTGGAGCTGGAAATCGGACAGGTCTTGATGTGGGACCTGGTCGCAAAAGTTGTCAGTCAGTTCAGGCTTCAGGCTGTAAACAAGGAAGTAGACCTTTCGTTTACCGTTACGGACAACCACAGTGACCGCGACCCAGAAGTTGGCGAGGGAATGGTGTCCGAAAGTCTGCGAGAACTAGTTGTTGTCGGGTGCGTCCGGGAACTCGCTTGTCACGCGCATCACAACGGTATCATGATTGCAGCGTGCACCTCTCATATGGCCTTTTCCTGCATCTCCCAGGGATCCCATGCGACTAAGGTGAGGAGGAAATTGTGAATCGCGACATCACGGCGTCGTCATGACGGCAACATTCCGCTCACATTGTTTTCTGGACTCCAAAGTGAGGTTGTAAGAAACGTCATATCTAATGCTCTTAAATTCACCCCCATTGGCGGACTGATCAAGGTTTCAGTCGAGTACAAGAAAGATGGTTTACCAGAGAAGCGGAGTTGGGGAAGGAAACGAAATTTTCAGCTCACGTCAAATTCGACTGACCAGATGCAGGCGTCAGATCAAAGCACTGGAGATTCCAATTCCCTGGCATGTTTCTACAGCTTCCCGCGCGCTGGATCTATCCTGATTAGTGTGACAGATACTGGTGCGTGCAGGAAATCGTGTACCCTGCGCATACATGATGACAACGTTCCCTCACGGTCGCCTTTATCCTGCCCATCTCCCAGGGGTGGGCATGTCAGAACATCAGCTATCGCGCGTTTTCGTCGAAGGCGTTCAATTCAACGCAAACAGGCTGCAGGCTGGTGGTGGAAGCGGGTTAGGACTATGCATCAGCAAAGGCATTATCGAACGGCACCGCGGTGCCATTGTTGCATCATCGGCTGGTGAGGGCAAAGGCTGCACCTTCAGCGTGGAACTTCCTCTGTACGATTCAAGTTGCGATCAATTCAAAACTGAGTCGCTGGTTTCTGAGAAGTTGCCTACAATGGCTGATTCCGCTGACACATGCCCAGACAAAGTGGCTCCTACTGGCACCGGCAGTATGGCAGTGGACATGGAGACCGTACCAACCATCGAAGACGACCGAAGGCTCGAAGCACAGTTCAACCCCTCAAGAGAAACAATGTTTGGCACCGTCGACAACGCCACTTGGCTCGACGCGAGGTTCTTCAGTTCCTGCCCCGCCACCCTCAACGCCGTCAAAGGCAGAAACGCAGAAGCACACAGTGTTGGTCGTGGATGATGTGCTGTCAAATCGCAAGATGCTAGTTCGATTGTTGGAACGAGCAGGACACCAGTGCTTCTCTGCATGCGACGGACAGGAAGCCATTGATACCGTTGTGGCCAACCGGAAAGCCGCTACGAGTACGGCTGATGCGCAGCGCGACGAAGGAACCATTGCCCCGGACATGATCGACACCGTGCTCATGGAGTAAGTGCACCATGCGCATTGTGCCCCATCTTGTGACTCCACATAGTTCGCCCTAATCTAGCCGTCGTGTCTGATGGCTGACCATTCAATTTCATTTCGTACTGGTGCTTCCTCCGCAGCTATGAGATGCCAGTCAAGAATGGACCAGGTATGTGAAAGATATTGCGTGCCTTGCCAACAACTTCGATACCATGGCGCTCACATGCAGTACTGCTTTTTCCTGCATGTTCTACGGTAGACGCCACGTTTGATCTGAGACAGCTGGGGTTTAAAGGGGCAATTATAGGTGTTACCGGGAATGTCCTTCATGAGGACGTCGACTACTTCAAAAAGAAGGGCGCAAACGATGTCCTACCCAAACCGGTCAGCATGAA